AAACAGCAGATATAGATGGATAATATTAGACAAGAACATAAAGAGTAACAGACTTCCTTCTTTCTCAGCTCCCTGAGATCTGAAAACCCTCAAGATCAGACGCCGAAAGAGAGCTAAGAACCGTTTGGCAGGCCTCGATGCATCCATATATAATGGCTGCGTGACCCCGCCTTCTGTCGATATTCCAACCCTAGACACCCTCTAATCGCTTAATTACCAGGTTGCCCTTGCCTTAATGAAGTAAGGGGTTTCTTTTATTTTATATAAATATGGTAAAGGATAATGCTAATGACTATGAATTATACAATTGAATTCGGATTAGTAAAGTTATTTGTTGTTGGTAGTTTTAACTAAAACAGAAATTTATAAATTATAATTTTTGGTTCTAACTTGAGCTAGGTGAGATCCCGTGACGAGAATAGAGGTTTCGAGCGATATATTTTTATATATAAGACTTGAATTTAAGATCTTATTTAAGAGTAAAGTATTTATCAGTCTAACCAACTAATTGTTAATAAATTTACAAACTATTTGTTATTTTATTAGTGAATTTAAATAAAATAAGTTTGAAAAAATATATTTAGAGAAAATAAGCCAAGGTAAAACAAATGTTATTATTTGATTATATAAGATGGTAAAAAGAAAATTATAAATTTTTCCCCCTTTCAGCCAACAGCCCTGTGATGTCTGGCCTTTTCTCTGTTTCAAATTCAAATTGAGGTTTGGACAAAGCATCCTTAATTTGATTGTTAGTGCACTCTGTGTTTCATCGACTCGTGCACTCTGTTTCATGGACTCGGTTAACTTTTGTTTAACTTCTTATTTAACGGTTCTCAAGAATCACCATTGTGGAAATAATAATAGTAATAATAACAAAAAAAAAAAAGTCATTCCAGAAATTAGTCGGAGATTCAGAATTCACCCTTTTTACTTTGTAACTCTTATTTTGCATTATTCTCGATCTCTCCTGCAGGGGTATTTCTGCTATATTTGATTAAGAGAGGGTCAGTTCTGCAAAAGAATTAAAGATCTATCAGAATTTGGGCTGGTAACCCCTTCCTTCCTAGCCTTTCTATCCTTCCCTGAAAGCTGAAAGTATCAATTGAAGGAATTCTAGGATGGTGGCTGTGTTCTGTTTAGATGTTAATAACCTTGTCCTGTAACAGTTTCCATTTTCAAATTAAATTAGTTTCTGAGAATTCTGTTAATAAATTTTTGTTGTTTTCTAAATGGACAAGTTTTCTGAAAATTCATGTGAAAACAGTTGTCATAAACAACTCTCCGACCAGGGTTTCTGCTTCCAAAATTAGAGAACTTTTTTCAAAATAAATCCAAATCATATTAAACTATTTCATTGTTTGTTCTGTGAATTTTTGTCAATCAACCTGTATATTTCAATTTTTGGCTGTTTCATTGTGACTTCATTGTATATACATCAAAGAAAAACAAAGTAATCATGAAGCTTGCGGCGTATGAGATCATCATTTCTCTTGTTTTGTTTGTTTTTCTTCCTCATTTTGAGCATTTGCTCTGTATTTTTTAATTATTGTGTTATAATTGAACACTTTTAGACCTTAAAATAAAAAGGTGAGGCCTATTAGGGCCTTCCAACTCCCGAACCAAGTCATAAAGTGACCCCCGTCTCTTCATTGAAGTTTTTAGCTGTATTTAACCCTGTAAAGCCTTTTCTTCTTCTTTTTCTTTTTCTTTTCTTTTCTCTCAAATTTAAAGAAGGGTTGTTAAGCCTTAAAGGAATGCTTTTGCATTGTAAGTTAAAAAGTACAGCCAGAATTTTAGGAAGGTAGCTGTGTTGGAGGTTTCTCCATTGTTAAGTAGGTGAATGGATGAGTGAGATCAATCTCTGCCTTGGATTCCTTTATGATGATCTAAAAAGCTCTTTGTTTTTGGTTCCAAAGAACTCAAACACGGGGCCTTGTTTATGTCTATATAAAGGCAACCAAGGCTTAAACGCTATCCTTTTTTTTTTTTTTTTTTTTTTTGATTACAGAAAGGGCAAAAGCCCAAAACAGAAAGCAAAGAAAAACACTTAATCCCGGGGAGTAAGCACTTCCAAAGCCTCACGGAGGATGAATTCCCTCAAATGATTGGGGGGGGGGGGGGTAAGCCTAATCCTTAAGACCAATTGATGTGACAAGCTGAATTTCATCAAATTATCCGCTGTTTCGTTTAATTCTCTTGGCACGTATTGAATTTTCACGTTCTACTCCTTACTAAAAATGGTTCTGATTCTATGCACAACCGGAAGCCAGCATGATTGACGAGCAAGCCTATCCTGAATAAAGCTCACCAATTCCTTGGAATCAGACTCTTAAATCACTTTCCTACAACCCAAGTGCCCAGCCAATTTTAGGCCTTCCCACACTCCCCATGCTTCAACTTCGAAGGCTCCAGAGAAACCAATCTTCCTAGAAAAGCCCTTGATCCATGAACCATCGCTATCTCTGAGAAGACCTTCATATCCTGCCTCTTGGGTACCTACACTTGAGACCCCATTAATGTTGAGCTTGACCCACCCCACTCTAGAGGTTTCCAGCCAACAATCTGATTGTCCACATGAGAGTCTCCAAACAACCTTCTTCTCTCAGTTTTCCTGCACACCATCTTCCACCAATTAATAATTTTGCAGGGCTCGACTGGTCTGATGAAAGATTCCTGAAAAATGGTCTTGTTTCTCCAATTCCAAAGACACCAGATGGCAATTGCCCAGGTTTCTGGCCATTTAGAGTGATCCAGCAGGTTAACCAAGCACCAATCTTTGCCTTCCAAGAGGAAAAACTTAACTCTGAGGTGAAGGGGACAAGACTTTTCCAAATCCAAGAGGCCACAGGGCAGTACCTAAGAGCGTGAATGGTTGACTCCTGAGCTGCCCCACATTCTCCACACCTAGGATCGCAACCACTCCAGCTAGATCTTCTCTGATTAGTTTGTAGTCTCCCATAGAGAATGAGCCAGACAAAGGTCCTAATACGCTCAGGGACTTTTAACTTCCATACTTTATTCCATCCCGAAAATCATAAACTGAATAGTCACATTGAAGCATTTTATAAGCACTCTTAACACTAAAAATCCTGTTATTTTCCCTAGGCCAAACCAAAGAATCAGGGCCCTAATCTGGGGAAGGGAGAGGAAAAGCATAGAGATAAGAAAAAAGGAATAATCCAGAGTGCCAGAAAGCTTTTCCCAATCCCAATTGCCATCAGTACCAACCATATCCCTGACCTTGCAATCTTCCTCTATACTACTTAAATCATCCCTAAAAGATTCCAAAATACAACCGGTCTTAACCAGTAATCCTTCCAGAATCTTGCCCTTTCTCTGTTGCCAATTCTCCAGAATTCAAATCTTTCTAATAGTTTCCAAACCTGGGCCATGTCCTTCCAATCCTTCGAGTCCCTTGAGAAGACCACAATGGACGAGTGCCAGTCTGCCCCCCTTCCATACTTCGCTGTAAGAACTGAGATCCAAGGCGCTTCTGCTCCACGTTTGAGATTCCAGCAAAGCTTAAGCAAACAGGGTTCATTCATCAAATGTAGTCGTTTCACTCCTAAGCCGTCGACTTCTTTTGGTTGCAAACTGTCTTCCAGCTTACTAGGTGAATTTTCCGCTCCCCAACATCATGACCCCAAATGAAATCTCTCTGAATCCTCTCCAAGTCATTGATGATCCCCTTTGGCAATCGGCTAACCATCATGGCGTAAATAGGGATAGCACCAAGAACTGATTTTGTTAGAGTCGTTCTTCTAGCCAAGGATTGGTGATTGATCTTCCATCCTGTCAATCTTGTTTTCACCTTTTCCACTATATACCGAAAGGTCCTTTTGCTACTTCTACCTTGAACAAGAAGAACTCCAAGACAACAACCCATATTGCAGGACTCAGCAAATCCACAAACTGCAATAATCTAGTTCCTGACCATCCTACAAACATTCTTGGAAAAGAAAATGTTTGTTTTGTTCATATTTACTTTCTGTCCTGAAATAGAGCAAAATTCATCTAAGCAATCCACAATACACCTTATCTGATCCACAATAGCTTGTCCAAAAAGTAGTAAGTCATCTACAAACATCAGATGGGATATCTGAGGGCCCTCCCTACCTACTCTAATAGGTTTCCAACTACCTTTTGAAACTCTGGCCTCAATCATCTAGGATAATATTTCCATGCACAAAACAAAGAGGTATGGAGAGAGGGGATCACCTTGCCTGATACCTATGCTCGGTGTAAAACTCTCCGTTAAATGCCCGTTCCACAGGATATTCATAGAAACTGAGGAAATGCATCTCATGATCACTTTTGACAGCCTTGTTGACATACCAATGTCATCCAAGATCTTGCCAATGAAGGACCATTTCAATTTGTCATAAGCCTTTTCGAGATCCACTTTGATAGTTGTTGTCTTCGATGCAATTTTAGCCCCAAGTGGAACTCTTTAACAAGAAAATACAGAAACTCCAAAACATTACACAGATGTCAAAGGCAACCAAGGGTCGAAGGACCAAGCTTGATAGTTGTCATCTTCAAAGCAATATTAGGCCTAAGTAGAACTCTTCTACTACAAGTAATCACTATTACAGTCGTGAACTATTAAACTTTTGTTGTTCTCCATTACACAGATGTCAAAGGCAACCAAGGGTCGAAGGACCAAGCTTGATAGTTGTCATCTTCAAAGCAATATTAGGCTAAGTAGAACTCTTCTACTACAAGTAATCACTATTACAGTCGTGAACTATTAAACTTTTGTTGTTCTCCACATTCCTTTTGAAAAAACCCACAGGAAAGTAGAACAGGAAATGCACAGAAACACAGTTGTCATTAAGCATTTTAAGTTTTGACTACTTCACACAATAAAGTGCACACTTAACTCCACCAGAACCGGACATTGAAACTGCATAAACTGAAACCTAACTATTAACTTATTAGCACCCTCCTAAATCCACACGAACCGAAGAACTGGGGTAGACCCACAACATTAAGACATGTTAATCTGGTTTATTAGCATCAGTCGGTAGCTTCCACAATGCAGTCATGCTGTGGCAATCGGGCCCAAGTTGACGGCACTTGCCATCGCCTTCATGGCTTCGAACCGTGGCTCCTTGCCTGGAATTTAAGGCCAGCATAAAGCTTCATGTAGTCCTCAAACACAAATTTAGGATAAACTTGCTGCTGTTGATCTTCTTTCTCCAACAGTGCAGGTGCAGGTAAATGATCGCGTCACTGCCTGGATTGTAGAACGAGGCAATGGACATTCTGTTCCCGTCCGTCTGAGCAATCACACGGTGCATTACGCTCTTGTATTTTCCATTTGTGATTACCTAGATTAAGCACAATGTCAATTGAGGTGTTTAGTACTCCGGTCTTTTTGAATTTTACAAAATGGATTTATTTTTTAAAAAACAAAAAACTGTTTTCCAAAACAGATCATAATTTGGGTAGTAAGCTTTTGGGTTTTCGGATGTTTAGGCTCAAAAACCGAATTCATAATTCCAGAGGGTCAGGTCTTGAGTGGCTAGTGACTGTTGCTTTTGGTTTGTGGAATTCAGTGGATGTACCTCGAGTTGGTCGCCAATATTGATCACAATTGAGTATTTCATTGGCGGAACATCGATCCACTTGCCATCCTTGAGGAGCTGGAGGCCGCTGACTTTGTCATCCTGGAAGAGAAGAATGATGCCGCCAGCATCGGTGTGGGCCCGGAGACCCTTGATCAGCTCCGGGCGGGGACACGGAGGGTAGTTGCTGACCTTGGTGCCAAAGGTTGGACCCTTGGAGCCATAGAAGGCCTTCTTGAGGTATCCTTTCTCTAGCCCAAGATTCTCGCATAGCAAGTCCAGAAGCTCTTCTGCTAGCTTCTCTATTTTCCCTGCAAATTCCTTCATTGCCTTCCTGTTGCGTCTCACATGGCATGAACATAGATAAAGCTTGTAAGTTAAGTAAAATCTCGACTAGACGTGGGATTCTCACTCTAAACCAAATTATTTATATTTTAAAAAACTGAGAAAAGTTGTGACATTAATTAACCTGTAATCTTCTTCAAGATCAGGGATATCTGACATGTCAGAAACAGGAAGATGGCGCAAGAAGAAGGTGCTTTCCCAGTCCAAGTCATTGATTTCCGACTGAACGGCCTCTAGTCCCCTGCTTGCCACCATTTCTTTAAACCTCTGTTCCATGCACTTCTTGTAGTGTTCTTTAGTCATCCTCTCCACACTGTCCATGAGCTCGTGGGGTATGCCATGGTTCATCAACTTTGAAATTCACAAAAAGAAATAAGATAAATTAGTAAAAATAAAAATTTTAAAAAAGAAAAAGGTTGGAGCAATACTCTGTTTTCTATATTTAGTTTCGGTTCTCATCTTCTGTCTATTTTGAAACCAGAAAAACAATAAAAACCATCTGGTTGTTTTCTACGAAGGAGCATTCTGTCTTCAGAAAGTAATTTCAAAAACAGTTTGATCTGCTAGTATTCTTTGAAAAACAGAAAACAGTGGTTGAAACGAAATTTTTTTCCCAAGCTTTTCTGAAAACTATAAGAGAACATAATAACTTCCAATGTTTTCAGTGTCTTTTCTGTTTCTGAAAACAAGAAAACAGAAAACAAATCCAAACACGAGGGACTAGTGGTATTAGCAATACAACTAGATACAATACCTCAAAAAAGCCCCAGTTCTCACAGCATCTTTTATCCTCTCCATGGTTGCTCCTCTCTCCTCGCCATTGAGTTTCTCCATGTCAATGACAGGGAAAACTCCATCTCTCTCTCTCTCTCTCTCTCTCTCTCTCAAATCTTTGTGCTTCTGTTTGAAGAGAGTAAGGGGAGTAATGGGTACAATTTATAGACAACCGATAAGTATGAAAGCAGAGAGAAAAGCTGAGTGTCAGTGATTAATTCCATTAGAGAAAAGGCCTCTTCACCCAGATGCAAGTATAGAAAACAGGGTAATGCCCTCGCTCCCCTGGTGGACCCCCACCATGTTTTACAGAGCCTCGAGCCATTCTCCATTTACTTCTGGTTTTGCATTTTAAGTTTAAGAATTCTTTTATTAATACAAAATAAAAATCTTTAGAATTAATTACAATTTAAATAGTCAAATATTTAATTTAGAATTTGAAAGAAAGTGAAATCATTCATTTTAAACACATAATCTTTAGATTTATAAAATGCCAAACATTCCATAAATTCAAGAATTAAATTGAGCTCACAAATTTAGAACTTTGGAAATCTAGACAAATCCTAAATTTTTTAAAATTTGACACCAAGCACTTCTGAATCTCAATGATTTCTTAAAGGCAAGAGCTGAAAAATTATCAACGCCAAACAGCCCCTTAGCCATCTCCCTCTCACTGTTTTTTGGTGGGGGTGGGTCCTACTTGGCTGGTCTCTTCTTGGATCTTGACCAGCCTGGTTGGTCTCTCTTTTCTTCATGCTCGCGCTGTCCCTTTTTCCATCTTGGTTGGGGCCTCTGAGAAGACGCGTCTACGTGGAGAGGCTTTTTGGTATTAGACATTGCTTGTTTTACCTGTACTCTGAGGAGATATTTAGCCACTGATTTCTGGCTTTTAGTTGAGTTTTGTTTTTACCTGGTTGGCAGAAGGCCCGGGTGACTTGCTAACTTTTAGATCTTACAAATTTTACTTCAAAATACTGTGGGATCATTTGGTAGGTAGGCTGGATAGAATAAGCTGGGATATGGTAGATTTTGAAATAAAATATATTAATTATATAATGATCTGAATAATTATTTTGTTTAGTAAAGGTGGTAAAAATAGTGGCTAGTGATAGTATTAAAGGAAGAAGTATTATCCAAAAAAATTGGATAAGAGTCGGATAAAATTATTTTACTTCTCACTCAATATAGTTTATCCAGATTTGATCTTACTATTATCCAATCTCTCTCCTACTCAAATTTTATCCAATCTTACCTTATTCCGTCTACTAAATATAAATACGGATAGGATAAAGATGGATAAACAATCTTTATCTACTCTTGTCCCGCGTACCAAACAAGCTCTAAGAATACAAAACAGATAACTTTTCAACCTATTGTTAAAATTTTAGTTAAAAAAAGAGTGTTCGAACTTTTTAAACTTATTTATTTGACTTTTAAATTTACATAATTAAAAAAGTTAGAAGATACCCAGAAAGAAAATCTTAAACCCATAAACTTATGATTTTTTTGGCTTTCCAAACTTAAAAATTGAAGTTATAAGTTTTAAAAAGTTCGACTATTAGATATTCCTCGGTGCGATTTTCAATTTATACAAATTAGGCTGTAAATGGTCATATTTAAATCAAATCAAACAAATTTGACTCCGAGTCCAAGTCTAAATACGAATCCAATTCCGATTACTCATTTTTGCATTCGAATTCGATTTAAAATATAGTAAGATTTATGTCTATTAAACTATATCTAAATCTAAAATTTGATTTGATAAGAAAATAATATTTTTTATATTTAAATCTTTTAATTCTATTATATCAATTATATTGGTTTCTTAATTTTCTGATATTTTTAATTTAGTTATTAACAAATTTAAATTTATTAATATTATATATAATATTATTAATTTTAATTTATTAAAATTTAAATTAAATTCAAATTAAATTTGAATTAAAATTTAACTCCACGATGATCTTAATATATAGCTGGATGCTTAGAATTAAAATCTGTTTTGTGTTATAAAATAACCATTTGAAAGCTGAACTTTAGGGTGAAGAATGATCAGTGAGACCGGCACTAACCTAACATTTTTAGGTATCATCCCAAGGGCCCCATGTAAACATTATCTTTTGGAATGCAATTGCCCATAAAAAGCACTACTGGTTTTATCACAACAATTTTTGGATAAAAACCGGGGACTTAACCCAAAAAAAAAAAAAAAACGCATAAAATAAAAATTATAAAATTAAACTAATAAAACATTTTACAAAACAAATTCAAGTATTAAAATAAAAGAATATCTTACAATCCAATTATCCAAAGTCTTAAATTTTAGTGCGTAATTAATATGGCAGTTTCTTTCAAAAAGCAAAAATAAAAAAAAAGGGAGTGTTTGGTTCACTACATTTTTGGTTGATATTTTTGGAGTTTCAAGATAAGAGTTATTTTAATTATTTTTAAAAAAATTAAAAATTTTCATCATTTTAAAATTAAAAAAAATTCTATTCAAAATATACACACATAAAAAATATCCATAAAAATTAAAATTTAAAATTTATGAGAGAGACTCTATAGAAATTTATTGAAATGCTTTCAAATGAATTTCATAAGACATCAACAAAAAGTTTTAAGTCATTTCAAAGGTTTCGAAAAATTACTAAATCATATAATATCTAAAGCATGTAGCCGAACTCCCGAAAAACTTTTAACCAAGCACCATTATATGTATGTATGTGTACATCTAGTGTATTTATATCAACATACATAACATGGATAGAGATATGATAAAATTCTCTTTAATTATCATAAACTTAATTATTTTTCTATTTTTTTTAAATTATTTTTTTCATTTTTCTTAAAATAAAAAAAGAAAACATGTGAGTTTTACTATCACATAAAGAGTAAAACATTAATAGACTTTTTTCTGTTAAATTAAATACACCAAAATGCTTAATTACAAATAAACACTAATTTTATTGGAGAAAATTTATTTTTTTATAATGTGAAAAAATCTAAAATTGAATCAAATTATAAGATTGTTGAGTTTCCCAATCCTCATTGTACTTGCGGATGAAGTGGTGGAGGATGGGGAGGAGGAGGGGGCTTTCCACGTTGTAAAGGGCAGAAAAGTACATTGGTTTAGACATAATCAGTGGCCGCATTATCTTTTACGGTTGCTCTCCATATTATCTTCGTCTTGCTTATATTTATTTATTTATAAAAATAAAAAATCAACTTGGTACACATTGAGACGTTTACCATGGGAGATAAGAAAAGGCTAATAAAATAAATATGATAAAATTTATCATATTTTTATAGTAATCATATTTTTATCACATGTTCGATTACTTTAATAACAATTCAGATAATAAACTAATAATAAATTAATTTACCAATTTACCCCTGATGCCTTTCCTCTCTAGCCATTGCAACCGACACCCACAAATCTAGCCACCTTCCTTCCTAGTGACTTGCAAGGCATGCGTGAGCAAGCGTAGGAGCATGTGTCCTCTCGCACAGGCGCTAGAACCCATTTGTTGCCTGCAGATCAGGCGCTTGCATGAGCTCTAGCGCCTGCTCACGCAGGTGCGCACAATGGTGGGAGGTTGAGCATAGAGGAGAGGGCGACAGTGGATCGCATAGGAGAGGGTTCGCAAGGGCAAGATTATCAAAAAAAATTTACACATGAGAAATTTTGTTTCGCCTGCTATCCAGGGATAAAGTTTACACGCTCTTGCTGATAAAATGCTACTCGAATTGGTTTATCCTGTGCTGTTACACGCGTAGCGAACGCGTGATAAAAGGGGATAAGACATATAATTTTATCCTCGTTAGCTTATCCCTCAAGTGAACGAGCCCTTTGTCTTAACCTTAAGGTAGGAAAGTTCCACAAATTGAACTAAACTATTTAAACAAATGAAATCATAATTTAGTTTGGCTCAGTTCAGTTTAGAAATAATTTTTTTTTTTATATAACTTAGTTTGATATTTGATATTTAGACAAATTGTATAAATTAAATTAAATCGTATAGTTTATAAATATACAAAATTAAAAGTTTTATCTTTTATATAATATATTTTTATTATTTGATTATTATATATTTTTGTTATTTTTTATATTTATATTTTTTCTAATAATTAATTATTTTTCTTTTATATAGTGTAATTTTTATTAGTATAAATGAAATTTTATAAAAACAGTATAAATATATTTATTATATAATGTACAACTATTATATTAATTAAAAAATAAAAAATTTGTTAAGTTAAACAGGTTGGAAAAAAAATGGATACCCAATTTTTAGGAAAACTTTTTCAAAATTTTTATAAAAGTAGTAAATTTAATTTCCTTTATTTTCCAAATCATAAACTGTGGTTTAAAACTGAACAAAACCATAAACCGTGATTTGGTTTGGCTTATAAAAATTATAAATTATAAACTATAATTTAATTTGAATTTAAATATCAAACCGAATCAAACCAAACTATGAACACCTCTACCTAGAGGATGTAATACTTGTTAAATTTATTTAAAAAGCATGGGAATTGGAGGGTCAAAATTGAGATATGATAGACTTCCACAATTCCGATCTCTAATTTAAATTTTTAAGTTCATCCCAAAATCGTGATCAAGACTATCATGAGTTTTACTCCTTATCTCCTTTCTCTCTCTCTCTCTCTCTCTCTCAATTTTAATTTTCTAACTAATTTTGACTTCTAATATCTACACACACACACACACATATATATATATATATATAAAGAGAGAGAGTAGCAAAATTAGCTGCAAAAGGAAGATCAACATGCGAAGGAAAGGGCATTCAACTGTTAAGTGCAGCATCATATACGCAAATTACACTGTGATTGATTGATAACTTTGTTTCTCTGCTGCACAAGCACACTTGGAGATATTGACATAAAGGCTGCGGGAAATGAGGGGGGAATGGGATAAGATTATAAAGTTTGCGGGCAATCAAGTGATATTAAGGCACTTATGAAGCACCCACTCCCAGCTGCGTTTTTTGTTTTTTTTTTGTTTTGGAGAGGGGGGGGGGGGTGTTTGGAATTCCTCTGGACAACAAAAGTGCTTATGTGAAGTCCATCAGCAATTGAGAAAAATTTAGAGGTGTTTGGTTGAGTTCTTAGCTTTTTTATCACAAAAAAGAAAATGCCACATATTATTGTGACTTCTATTCTTTCAAAAGAAATAGTTTTTTTGGTTAATTATGCTAAAAAATTATATGCTTATAGAATAGATAAAAAGAATTTATATTTTTAATTGTTTCTTTTTTCTTACGGCAGATGCAATTTTA